CTGTGTAAAGAAATCACTATAATCGTTTAAACACGTATGTGAGGAACACGCGTGTTAGATGTACACACTGACAACACTACACATAAACAAAGCTTCATTTTTAAAATACTGCATTAAATAAATGAGGGTGAATGAGATATAAACGCTCTCGTGCATTAACATGAGTGCATTTGTGTGCACGCAGGCCCAGTACATCCTGATTCACCAGGCCCTGCTGGAGCACAACCAGTTTGGAGAGACGGAGATCAGCCTGTCTGAGCTGCACAGCACAATGAGCACGCTCAAAGAGAAAAACGTGGACGACGAGCCCACGCTCATGGAGGAGGAGTTTGAGGTACGCCGTATCTTATCACTTTTATAGCTGTAAACTGCAGAAGCGCAGTGCGAGGGACCGAAAGTGCAGCTTTGATCATGTTTAGGTCGCTGAGTGAGTCACAGAGAAAAAGCTCTGACACAATAATGTAAATGACCCTAAAACATTGATGCAGCACAAACGTCTGACATCTAAAAATATCATCAAGTGTGCTGGTCGTCCTCTTCTTCATCACGTCCTGCACGATGGATTGGATGGAAGCAAAGTTTTAATATTAAAAAGACAAAATGATCTTGCAGAGACTCCCCACCTTTAAAAACTGGAGGACGCTCAACACAGGCGTGACCGAAGAAAACAAGAAGAAGAATCGTTCTCCGTCCGTCATCCCCTGTGAGTTTACTTTGCACGCACGCGTGTGCTCACGTGTAAGACATCTGCTCACTTCACCTTCTTTCATATGAAACCTGCAGATGACTTCAACCGCGTGTTACTGAAGCTGGATGAAGGACGAAGTCAGGACAGTGACCCCGACGAAGACGATGAGGAGGAAGATTCTTCAGATGAAGAGGATGAAGACTCCACTCAATACATCAACGCCTCGCACATCACGGTAACGTTCGGCCTATTTATGAACCCGTTTCTATGTAAACTACTAAAAATATCAGCTGATGTCAAACTGCTTCCTGTCACCTTCTTTCCTGTTGCAGCAGATAACGAAATGTGTCTCGTCTTCTGTGTTTGGACTCGATGTGTTTGTCTCCCACACAGGGATACTGGGGCTGCCGAGCCTTCATAGTGGCGCAGACCCCACTGGCGGACACCACGGGGGACTTCTGGTCGATGATTCACCAGAAGAAAGTTTATACTGTCATCATGCTTTCAGACAGCAGTGAAGGAGACGCGGTACAAACA